ACAACGGCGAGGGCTGCGAGTATTACTTTCCTTCACGGTAATGCTCCTTAAGATGAATTTACACGGTTCACTTTAATGATGAGCCATTCTGAAAAAAATCGTCTCAAGCAAATATGTGTAACAATGAAATCTGTATATATTACATTTTCAGAAGTTGTCAAGTTGGATTTATTTAAACTTTGAATAAATAATATTTTATTTTTGTAATATTTTATTTTTTAAAAAGTAGCATAGAATAAAATTAAAGTCAATAAGTGGAGTTTTTTTTATATATCTAAATAGTTTTAATCTTTTTTGATTTTATAGAAACCTTTGACATGGAATTTTTATTCAATTAGGATAGAATTATCAAATCGATTTTATATGTCATGAGATTCAATTTTGTAAGAACTATTATGACAAACCCATCGATGATACAGCGAGGATTTGTTGAAAATTATACAAATTAAGATAGAAGAAAAATATTACTTATATTATATTATATTTTTCCCTTCGTTATAGAAAGAATAGTGTTGCTGAAGTATCTAAAAGTTTAGCTAGACAGATCTGAAAATAATTTTGTTGGATTATCAAAATAATTATATAAGACACTCTCGATGATTGCAAGAATGTCAAAAGGTTTTGCAGCATTGCTCATTATGTCTAAATTTCTCCTACATAATCATTTTAACGGTCCAACACAATTATTTACCTGTAGCTACCTAGATTTTTAGATGTTTCGGCAAAATTGTTAATTCTTTCTGTATTTAAATCCGATTTTTCCCAAAAAGAAGCTTTGTATCAAAAATTCTTAATTTTTTCATGTTTTTTTACACAAAAAGAACGGTTTTGCTGAAATATCTAAAATTTTAATTTTAATTTTTCAAATCTGTACATACAGATTTGAAAGTAATTTTATCAGTCCATTAAAATAATTAAAACGATCAAATTAATTATTAAAACAAAAACTTTTACAGTATTGTTAATCACGCTTAAGATTCCTAAATAATTAATTTAATGGCCAACAAAATTCAGATCTGTATGTAACTAAATTTTTAGATATTTCAGCAAAATCATTCTTTTCGTGCATATAAAACTGCATCATCGACGAAAGTGTTCGTCGTAATCGTTTTTATAAAGTTGAATCTAACAATATATTCAAAGCAACACGAACTCTAGAAAACCAAAATTAAACAATAGAAAAAAGTAGTACACCACACGCGGGACAACCACCGGTATTCTGGCCACGCTCGAGGCGACATCCGAGAGGGGTGAAAGGAATTTTCGAGGGCGGCCGATCCCGCTAATATTCAAAGAATTAGACAGACGGTGGCGGGTCCTCGAGACGCGGTCGGCTGGACGGACCCCTTAAAGTGCTTTCGTTGCATTCTCGACACACGCAACTCCGATGTATAATGGGGGTTATATCGGGTTCGGAAACGAGGTCGGAGCGTACAACAGCCACTCGACGAGGTTACACGCGGTAACATATGCGCTCTATGGATCGGGACGATAAAAATCAGCTACTGCAAAACGATACGCAATAGCTGAGTTTACACTGCACCGATGAAGAGCCCGCCTGACACACCTGACAAATTCGGGCTATGAAAATAACAATTCAGAAATAACAGTTTCTACGAGATCGTCACAAGATAGAGAAACGAACAGTCAATAAAAATATTCTTAAATTTAATTTAGGGGATTCATTTTTGTTGAACTTTTGAAATTTAATTTATCATCTGAATATAAGACTTTTTGAAAATTAACCTTCGGATGAATAAATGTGTTAAATACAATAAATATGAATTATATTTCTTAATTAATTTTAAATAGACCTAATTCGCTTGATTTTTAATTTAATATTTATATATGTGCTAAATATATGTAACATTGAAAACACAGGAAAATTAATACAATAAAAAGTTTAAATAATGATAAAATCTTGATATTTTTGTAAGAGACGATTTGATTTGAAATTGATCGAAGAATTCAGTTCAAAAAGAAAAATTCTGTATTTCGTAATTGTTGATATAACGAGAGTTAGTGGATGAATTTTGTTGCCTGATTTATCCAGAACAGAGAAGGTAGCTTTTGAGTTTTCAGTTGGAACAGTCGCGTGCGATTAGGGTCACTCGAGACTGCTTTTACGGCAATTGAGCTAAGCGATCGTGGAAGTTGTGCAGTCGTCTGGACGGAATCGAGATCGACATCTGCTTATGACAGAAACGCGTTATAATCCGCGTTATATGCATTATGTACGATCCATAGAGGCTTGATCGCATCTGAGGCTTTATAATTCAAAATATATCTTACTGCTTGATTAAATTTTTTAACAGGTTTTGTTACCACAAAACGTATATAAGGTAACGTCGATATAAATATAAGTTTAGTAATATATGTACCTACAGTATTTCATTTTTATATTCTTATTTTCAAATATCCGAATAAAAACAAGTTATTATTAATTAAAATATTGAATGAGGAATAGACAGTAACAATAATTTATTAATAATGTCCATTTCTATCAATGTAGATTAACTTGCTTTTTATCTTCTTTTTAGTTCTGAGTTATTAAAAAAAAGTAAAAAATTAATTAAACCGAAATTAAGATTAATCTACATAGAAATGGACACAACAGAATTTATTACTAAAAGAAATAGACAAATCATTGTTATTAAGATTTATTTCTCTTTCAATATTTTCATTTAAGAAGAATATTAACTTTGTTACAAAAAATTGTGAGTGGTAAAATGGTTAGGAGTTTTCATTAATTTTGGGACATGTTTTTATGTATTATTATGCAATAGATGTGAGACAAAAGATATATTTTGATCAAGATTTTGAATTTCTAAGTACCGATTACTGTTTCTCGCAAGGGACAAACAATTGTAATTCCATGAGATTATTTTTGAGATCCTCACCTAAAATTCACACAATAGAATTGAGAGACTCTCGGTGATTCTTCCGATAAAAATAATACATAAAACTCGTATTATTTTCCTCCTCAACACTGAGTATCCGCATAAAGTGAACGAGGCGTTAAATTCCCCTCGAAGAAATAACACAGTCCTCTAAACCGTGGATTACGGACTTAGAGCATCGGAATAAGGAATAGCTAGAGGCCGATTCAAAATGCGTTTGACAAAGGCTCGTGCCTTCGTCTCTGAAAAAACATCCAAGGGTCTACCTGGCGATAGTTCGAGATATGTCATTCGTTTTATTTCGACATAAAGAGCGACTCAACGAGGTCGATTTTAAGCTTTACTTCAAAGAACTTCATAGAATGTTCATAGAATGTCCAGAGATGATAAAATATTATATAATATTTAAAAGTAATATAAAAGGCTCTGTAGTAATAAGCAAAGGTAGTATAAAAGAAGGGCAACGAGCCAATGACGCAAATAAAAAATTATAATTCAGCTAAGAAAACTTAATACAAAAACATTTAAAATACAATAAAATGAAACAAACGTTTCAACTCCAATTGAGTCATTTTCAATGCCATCATACAATAATATAAATGTCGTTCTAAATTGAAAATTAATACATAATCTTACAATATTCTTAAAATTAACAAATAATTCTTTCCTCTTTCGGTGTAATACGCTGTGAGTCATTTTTATCAAGAATTAACAAAGTCATAAGAAAGTTCTGGAAAAGTAACCGTATACAAAAATAATTAATATTAATCATATAAAAATTAAAAATATGATGATATACCTTAGTAAATCTGTTAAAAGTCCCATAATACACAACAAGAAAAAAAAGTGAAATGTGGTCCATTTTGTGGTACAGTAAAATAGTCTTTTTAATATAATAGGTTATTAAAGCAAATTCGCAAAAGTAACGAGCATCTGACTTAAACGATGTCACACAACGAAATGTCAAACAGAAAAACATTATCAATAAACGGAAAAAGGAAAAACAGGAGGAAAAGGACAGAAGATGTTAGAAAGGAGAAAGTGAATGTATAATGTCAGAATACAA